AAACAGAGAGTATCTGTCTATATTTCTGAGATGAGGTATTATGTACACTATTTACATTATTCGGACTATTGTCTTCATCTTTCTGTCTATATTTCTGAGATGAGGTATTATATACACTATTTACATTATTCGGACTATTGTCCTCATCTTTCTGTCTTTATTTCTGAGATTTGGTATTCTGTACACTATTTACATTATTCGGACTATTGTCCTCATCTTTCTGTCTATATTTCTGAGATTTGGTATTCTGTACACTATTTACATTATTCGGACTATTGTCTTCATCTTTGTCGTCATATTTATCACAACGCTTCGACCGTTGTACGCTCCAGCCTTCTTCAGGTGGTTGGAATGTCGAATTGAAGCCATATCTAATGGATGTCAGTTATCAGTTATGTCCTGGTTAATTCTCCTCTCCAAATTCTCCACTGCCTTAACCGGGTATTGAACTCACACTCTTTGGGTCCTGTAACTGGATCTAACTAACGCCTTTATCCAATATACCATGTGTCCTTTTCTTGGCCTGATTATGTCATGTGAGTACAAAATTCTCTTGGCCGTCTTTCCTCATTATATGTTAAGTAATAGTCAGCTGTCGCAAGTTTAAGACATTAAAAAGTAACTTGTCAGTTACACATAAAAGATACCTTACACTGATGTTATAGTGATTATGATAAGTAAAGAATAAAAACAGGACTCTTAGAAAATCTCTCTCTCTCTCTCTCTCTCTCTCTCTCTATATATATATATATATATATATATATATATATATATATATATATATATATATATAAGTGTATGTAATATCTAAGGGTTATGCTTGTGTTTATATATACAAACATATAGAATGTTTATCAAAGATATTTTTACACACTTTCGAGGCGGCTTCCTCACACATAAGCAACGACAAAAATCCATACACATGTCCGCAAATCTTTCGTTTGTGAGTTATTAAGTTTGAAGTTTACAGTAAACGTTGTTAAATGTACAATACAAGATATAATATCCGCCTCACCAAAAAACATTATTATTTCGTGGCCAGGGATACGAACGGATAATGGTCCTCCTTGATCCATAGTTTGTAGTGCCACTGATCTTTCCTCAGCAAAGAGACGATAAAGAGCAGTAAATATTGGATGACTTGGCTACCTTCGGTCTATTTCCAGTCACCTGGCCGTATGCAAAAATCACATCTGGCTGCGCACGATATGAATATGCGGCCATTGTTAAACGGAATTCTTCTCAGTGAACTCACTACTACACGCTCGTCCTGGATATGACAATAAACTACATTCACGTCCTAGGTAAGGCGATAAATACGTCCAACAGCAAGGCCTCTGATCAGGAGGTTTTGAGAAGCGTAGAACCACCACTTAATTGCTGGTGTTCCCAGGTCCACCCTGACCCGGGGTGGTAGCACCTGTTAAGGTCCCAGCTATGGGCAAATAGTTAACCCCGAAACTGAGGTAAAAAGCATTATAAAAGTCTTAAAAACTGTAAAAATAGATTTAAATACCAGAAATACTTTGTAAAAAATTATTACCAGAAATAAATTTTTGAAAAAAAAAAAACTATTACCAGAAATATATTTTTGAAAAAAAAAAGATTATCAGCAATAAGTATTTGAAGAAAAAAAACAAACAAATATTACCAAAAATAGATTTTTGCCCCAAAAAATATTACCAGGAGAAAAAGAAGTTGTCGGCATTAATTAACCCATTGAGGTTGATATACCATAAAAAGACAACAAACCAAACCAAACTACTACACACGTTAAACTTTGAAGACAGACTAGCCACAGATTTACACGAATGACAAATGTAACCTAGTCTAGATGGCAACTAAACTTAACTAAAAATCGAAAGATTTGCAGAGATATGTTGATATGGACTTTTGCCCTTGTTTTGGTGTGAGAAGACAGTCCCCAAAGTTTGTAAAACTATTTTAGATAGAACATGTATATGTATGTGCATGTTTTGTGTGACCTTAAACGAACAAGTTAACATTGTTTCATTATGCTTTTTATTTGGATGCTTATAAGTATTTTATTATTTGGATTGAATGCCAAAATTGTTCAAACGTTTTATCAATCCGAGCACTTTCGGTTAAATGAGAAGAATATTCGGGGACTTTTTTGTGATGTGATCATAGTAAATGGAGTGCGAGGGCTATTATAAATGGTATAATGGTTGGTGAAAGTATACATAATTATTAAATTTCTAAATACGGCCAGTATATAGTGGCCGTGTTCATAGTTGAGACTATTCAAGTGTTGGTTTCTTGGTTATTGTTATTATAATAAGCGCTTCGAACAATTTAAAGAATTTTTTGAAGTAAGAGCTAGACAGACGTTCGTGTTATTGACGGGTATGCTGCGTATTGAGGTTGGTACAATTCCATGCTGTCTTAAATCAACTAAATATAATGCGGTGGCTAACTGTTCTTATCCGAACATTCCAGTCTACCGGGGTCGCTAACGAATCCCTGTCATAGACGCCTGCTCAGCTATATTTTAGGTTTGTTCAACACCTGAAGAGCCCACCTGTGGTTTATACTGCAACTGTGAACGATTTGAGATTGCTTACAGTTGCTTAGAGAAAATGTACTATCGGGTGTGACCAACAGCCTGAACAAGGCCAGTTGGCTCAAATCCTCGGCCACGATGACTTGCGATTTTGTGCTAGCACAAACATCGACGGCTCTCAAATAGTTCCGTCTATCTAATTTCAATCACAAGGCTTGGGTCAACTCGTGATATGGTTTCCAAGCACATTCCAAAGATACCGCATGATGAGATCGTTTCCCCGCCTTCATACCAGTAACGTCAAGTAGCTACATTCCTGATTAATCGACCATAGTGTGATTCAAACCTGGGACTCATGGCGTAAATCGAACGTTCTAACCACCCGCCCACGCAGAAAATATATTATGTGTATTAATATGAAATAATTTCGGACGATAAAAAAAAATTCATTAATTCCTAAGTAATAAACTTGTTTTATGTTTCAGTTACGAAAATGAAGTTATGTTATGTTATACTAGATCATACCTATTCTATGGTAAATAGACTCTCCCACAGATAATAAGTAGTAGTCGTAGCAGTTGCCAGGAAGCTCAGTGAGTTGTGTGAGTCAGTCGATGTCGAACATTAAAGTATCAACCACCACAACTAGATTGCTGCGTCATTAACTATTATTTCAAGTTCCTAACGTTTTGTACGTCGAACCTATTTTAGGACCGACTTAGTGAAGTACAAGCCTCCACTGTGAAAACTACTCTACAACACATCAAAATATCCCAGCGAGAGATGTAACTTTAAGTCTGTTTAACTCTGATATCTCGTGTGGCTAACCAACTTTAAAACTACACTGTGGTCCGAAAGTCTTGTCACCCCAAGATATTATAATTTTCAATTTTCAGGTGGCTGACGCGAAAACGAGGGTCTTCATACAGACCTTCTTGATGTACGACATCGGCAATAAATGTGAATAAACTGGATCCAGTACATGTCCTTTATATTAGTGTATATTAGTATATATATATATTAGTATATTATTGTTCGCATTACTTTTAGTAAGGGGGTGACAAGACCTTCGGACCACTCTGTATAATTGATTTGACGTCGCTATATAGATAATTGGGGGTTGGGGGGTGAAGGCAGAATTTTTAGAGAATCACGAATGTTCAAGTCGGGAGATGTCAATTTTACACTTTAAAGTACAGAAATGACTATTCAAACACGTGTATCTATTACCTCCCAATTGTTAATCTTTAACGTTGTTTCATTGAACAGATTACGTACTGCGCTGTATTCTATATTCATAGACTACGGTGAACATGGTCAACAAAGGTTATGAGCCCAGATTACGATTGTATTTTGACGGAGACGAGTCGAAGTACGAATTGTGGGAAGTGGAATTCCTAGGCTACCTTAGAATACAAAAAAAAACTTCAATGTCCAGACTGAGAAAGTGTCTCTCTACCAATCTGTCCGTTTGTTTTATCTCTATCTGTATTACAGCCATTTGATATTCTAGGATTTTAATTAGTATTGCGATGAAAGCGTATCCTAATTTGGCGGGAAAGGATAAAATGAACTTGAACTAAGTAGAGTGAAGTCTAAGTTGAACATATTGGGTAGCATTGATATTTCATAGTTTCCCCACTTGCTGCAAGATGTATCAGGAATGGATAAGGACGTTTTCCCGATAGGGAACGATATTTTCTTCTGTCTGCTGACGGTTAAATTTTCTTTCCATTTTGCAACGCGTACTGTTAGGACGTGTTTTGCGAATCTTCACCAATGTTAACTCTTATGCAAGAAACATACATATTCTATTGTAAATAGACTCTCCCACATATAATAAGTAGTAGTAGTAGCAGTCGCGAAAGAGCTCAGAGTGAGTTGGTCGAGTCAGTCGATGTCGGACATTAAAGTATCAACCACCACAACTAGATTGTTGCGTCATTAACTATTATATCAAGTTCCTAACGTTTTGTACGTCGAACCTATTTTAGGACCGACTTAGTGAAATACAAGCCTCCACTGCGAAACTACTCTACAACATTAACCTGGGTCAAGAGAGGTGGGAGACTCAATGTCTGGAAACAGCACTCTGCACGAGCAAGAGGACAGAGTCATTGATGTCAGAAAATTTCTGCGACCCTATCACCCCTTATATCTGGCCCTTAACTCTCCAGACTGTAACACCCTTGGTTATTATCATCGTGCTCAGTTGAGCGTGAGATAAAAAAAATAACACCAAACATGAACTGAAGACAAGGATTATGGCAGCATTAATAAACTTAAACAAAGATATCGACCAGAAGAGTTTGCAGGTGATCCCGAAGTTGTCTGGATGCCGTGGTTGAAGCCAGTGGAGATTTTATTGAGTAAATTTACTTTTTTAATATTTCAAGATATCGTTGTGTAAAACTTTTTGGTAAAACAAGCAGTTAAAATGAGATGGCTGTGTTATTTTCATTTTTACGTAATTTAGACGACAATTTATCCATCGCACCATCGATCTATCTATCTATCTATCTATAG